ATTGGGCCCAGAGGTCAGCATTACTTCTATACTTGTGTTGGGGTCCGTGCTGGGCTCCCTTATATACATAGGAAGCGTCAACTACATAAGTGCCGTCCCCTGAAGTGGTTTCAAGGGCTCTAATTACTGCTAGCAGCTCGGCTCGGGGTACTGTCTGGCGCCAGCCAGCCATCGTGCCTCTTAAAGAGGCCAGGGCCGTCTCCCCAGAGCAGATGGCGAAGGCCCAACCTACACGGCGCAAACGAGGATCCTGTCCGTGTTCTCCCCCCGAGCCGTCACCGCCTATTACACATCCTACTGGAAGTGGAAAACGGCCCTCCTCGGGCCACTCTCCCTCTCGCACTGTACTTTCTTCTGGTAGAGGGGTGTCCGCTGGGGGCATCGTCCATAAAATGGGAACTAAACCTCTTAGCCAGAAGCAAGGATAAGTTTCTGCACCTATCTTCGCTTGCTCACAGAGATGCCGATCTTCTTCGAAATCGGGAATGTCTCTATTGCAGGGGCATTCCCAAAGTTGGTGGTATAAAGTCTCACTTGCGGCACCGCATCTAGGGCACACTGTCGTGCCTACTCCAGTGTTTTCAAAACGACGCTGATTGGGCCACAAGGCCCCTTGGCTGACCATTTCAAGTATGGCAGCCATGTGATCTAAACCTTTATTTCTTAATCTCTTGAGATGGGCCCAAGTCACAGTTAAATCCACCCCGTACTCCACCCCCGAGCCCGAGAAATGTTTACTGGCTTGGGCCCACAAATTCTGCTCCAGTGAAGACCCTACTTCAAAATCCAGCCTGTCTAGGCCGTCAACACCTTCAAAACTAAACTTTTCCCCGCATGGGATGGTCCATTCCCCTGGGGTGTTTGGGGTCCAATTCATATCTAAAAGAGTGGCCTGTACAGCTGCCGTATGACCTTTGACCAGGAGCCAGCGGTTCTCCGAGTCGCGCAGCTTGGGCAGGGACTCCTGCCAGGCCTTGTCGATGGCAGCGCGCCACTCAGGGATCCTTGGGAGGTGGTCCTGCCAGGCCTGCAAGAGCTCCAAAGGCCCCCAGAACAGAGGGTCACTTCGTTTTCCTAAACTAATCCTAATGGCCGTGGTCGCACAGCCTCCAGCCCACTTGCTTCCACACATGGATGAAACCTGGGCCCTCAGCTTTCGAAGATTGGTGGGCGCAAGGCCCATCGCCACGGCTCCCCAGGACACCTGCGGTTTGTGGCCAGTGTTGGCCAGCTTTTTGGATGCTTTCACACTCTTCCCCAAGACTCGGATGGCCGTGGCTCTCCTAGCGGCTTTTTGGTGTCTTGTTTTGATGGTCCCTTGCGTCCTGCCGGCAGTAGATACATCAACACCCAAATCTCGAGCAGACAGTTCAACTCTGATCGGTAGGCCCAGCTGCTTCACTCTTTTCTTCAACTCACTGCGAACTGAAGGGGAGCTTGCCAGACCAACTGACTTTTTTGAAATTCGTAATCCTTTGCTGGTCATGCTGGTGGTCAGCTTGATAGCAACTTCCGTAGCCTGGTCTATCACTCCACGAGCTGTGCCCACATTCAACTGAGCGAGGTCGTCTACCCAACTGCCGATGGAATTACGAGGAGGTGGATGTGACCTATGTATGTTGTCGAGCATATCCCACAGATAAATCCTAGACCAGGCAACGCTCTGCATGCATCCTGCGATGATGGAATGCGCGGCTTGTACACTGTCCGATAGGAGCGAGCCTACTGCCATCCATCGGTCCGCCATGTGCTGCAACATGGCGAGATAAAAGGGCACTAACGGGTAGTCCAAGTCCACTGCTAAGCCTGCTAAGATCTGCCCCTGGATAAGGTCATAAAACTTCTCCGCGTCCCAAAGAAGCTGAACCCAACTAATATTTAATATGCCACATGCTTCTGCTTTTAATTGTCTTAGCACTGCTGCTCGAAGTGGGCTGCTACCTTTCACTGCTGCGTCCCAAAAACCTGCTTTGCTACGCTCCCAAGTTTGAACAGCTTGCTTTCTTAGAACACTCCAAACTCGATATGGCCCTGGCGTTAGAGTAATTGGTCGGTCTCCCCCTGGCGGTGGCTTGGGTGTCAAGGCAACGACATTGACTAAGCTCTGTACTGGCCAACTCAACTGCGCCTCAACCTCGCCGAAAAACTCAAGCAACTGCTCCTGTCCTACTTCAGGAAGCGTAAGCCACTGCCTAGGGTTCCACGGGTCTGCTCCAAGGCCTGCGTGGTACTTGAAACATCGCAAACTCTGCTGCAAGTCTGGGAGCGTGAGCTCTGGAAGAGGTTGCTCAACCTGTTGAGCTCGCGCTGCGTCTCGGAGACTTCGTAGCCAAAAAGGAAAAGGTTGTTTTGGTCCTCCTACATCTCCTCCCCATAACTTTGCCCACCTGTCCGCCTTCACCTTCATCATCTCCAGGGGTTTCAGGATTTCGGCTCCTCCCTCATCTCGTTCGACAGCTAAACTGGGCTCCTCCACCTGCCATGTCCTGGAAAACCTGTGTGCCCAACTTGCCCCTGAACTGAGACTCTGGCTGAGAAACTTCCGAAAACCATGCTTTTCTCCTTCATTGCGGCGATGGATACCTTAGCCAAGACCTCCTTGGCTGCATTCAAAACTTCGCGGATGTCCTCCTTGCTACAAGGAGGCGATGTCAAAGCTGCGAGGATCTTGTCACCTGCGAGCCTAGCTGATTCAGGTACTGCTGTGATGTATTGCGGTGTGTGCGTGCTCTTGCCCCACATGCCAAGCTGATGTACTATGGATGTGCGCTGTGTAGATACCGTACTTGTGCCAGTTTTGTCAGCCAAAATGTACAGCTCCTGGAACCTCGACCGAATACCTCCCCAGAAACAGACCTCTTCAGATCTACCAAAATGTCCAGGCGGTTTTACAGCGGTAAGATTTTTCACAGTTACTTCTGGGCACATCCCTCGCTTGTGTGGGCTGGGTTCCCGTCCTGAGCGATTTAGCAAAAAGGCCTCTGCCTGCATGGAGAAGTTGGCGTACATGCGGCTGAGGCTGTCGGAGGTAGCTTCCTCCCACACATAGTAGTCTCGTGGTGCCTCGACAGCACCTGCTTCCTGCTGAAAATGCTCCCACGGCAGATCTGGTCCAAACGCGTGGTTGAGTATGGGCGTGACGGGCACCATAACACGGCCTTCTAGAGCTTCCTGAGACAGATCTAGCTTCCCAAAAACTCCCAAGTGTGGTGCCCAAGGTCCCTGAAAGTCCAGAGCCAGCGTAACCAGGGAAGTGAGGTGCTCCGAGACGACTCCAAAGTCCAGAACCCTTCCAGAGCCTCCAGCATTGGTAAACTCTCCCGGTGGCGTGACGATGCTGCCCCTGACGAAAGATGGCCATCCTGAGTCCCAGAGGTCCTTCGGGGTCATGTTCCAGTCCGCCATTACTATGTAGTGCTTAGCTACGGTGAGTAGATAACATGCGAGTTCTTCTAGAATGAGGCCGTTGGTGCCGACAACCCCCTCGGAGTCATTCAAATAAACTGCTACAGACGTGATCTCCAGGCCCTTGAACCTGACATTCCTTCCTACCCATTGGGTGCCAAAAAACTGAGCTTGCCCATCAGGTCCTACTCTGCATGGGTAACTCACCTGGGAATGGATGGTGGTCCTAGCTAGGACCCAGACTCCTCCGTGCCCCAGTGCGCCTTCCGTGGCCGTCGGGACCGCAGGCGAGGAGGTGGATAACCACCCCGCTTTTGTTGAGCTTTTTCTGTTCCTGGAGAAGGGATCCGCCACGAAGATGAGTTTCGGCACCCATATGGAACAGGACATCTTGCATATGTTCTGCTGCTAAATAACATCGTGCTCGATCATTCCACTTCGTATAGTTGGCGAAGTAAAAAGGAAAATGCTCAGCGCCGCCACGTTGCTGAGCATCTGGTGCATCTGGTTTCTGCCGCCGACGATGTCCACGGCTGCTAAAGCTGCTGCTGCTTCTCTTGCTCGAACTTGGCTTTGGCTGCTTCCAAGATCTTTTGCACCTGGTCCTCAGAGACTGCGGGTTTAGCTGCTTCAGAAGCCGCCTTCGAGTCCGCCGCCCCCGCCGATGCCGTAGTTCCGCCGCCGCCGTCACGTGCCGCCGATGCCTGGGACGCTGCTGCCGCCGATGTCTCCTGGGCGGGGGCTTCCGCCATGCCCTCACCGCCGCCTGCACGGGCTGCACCTGCTTCACCAGTTCGCCGCCGTTTACCTGCCATTCTTGCTTTGTAAGCTTCGAATTGTTCTTTCCGCTCCAGCAAAGACTTTGCCGATGGACCCACCGCCGTGATGATGAGTTTTGAGACTTCTTTTGCTCCTCCTTCTACAACCTCCTCCAACCTCCTCCTCCTCCGCCCTTCCTCCTTCTCCCTTTCCTCCTCCTCCAACCTCCTCCTCGCCCTGTGGTGGAAGGTCCCCTGGGGCCTCAGGAGGTCCCCGGAGGCTACGGGAACCCCACAGGGTTCAAGATACGCAGAAAAGTGATCCTCGATCGGCTCCGATGCGTCCCCAATGCTGTGGAGCTTCGATATCGGGTGCGCCGACGATGAAAGGGGAGCCAAGAAGCGGGGGGGAGAACAGCGCCTTCCGAGCCTTCCCCATCCCCAGCGGCGTGGCCTGGGCCCCGCTGGCCGATTTACCCACCTAGATGGGGATGTGGGCCGTTCCCTTCGGGTTTCGAGGGGCGTATCCCCAACTGGGCGGGTAATTTGGGGGGGATGGGGATGGGGATGGGTCAAACGATACCGACCTCTTGGGGGCGCGCAAACATGGATTGGCAATTCATGGATCTGGCGCGCGGTCGCCATGTCCATGGATCGGGGGGGGCGCCCTCCCCAAAATGCAGCCCGTGCCGCCTCATTCGGCGGCGGAAATCCGCGATTTCCTCTGGAAGCGGGACCCGTCGCTGCTCCACGCCCCCTGGATCACCGTTTGCGATCGCCTGAGAATCGAAACGAGCCCTGCATCCCCCCCTCTAGTCCCCCCCCCCCTCCTCGACTCGGCGGTGGACAAACCTCCCTGCAGTAAACCACCCTTTAGTGAAGACGGCTTGGGACCGTAGCCGACGGACCTGGACCCGCAAAAAACGACGGCCACGACGCCCTCTCGCGAACCGAAAACGGCCAATTCGCTAATCGACGTGTCAGGGTAGGAGGCCTATCGGCCTCTTCCTCGACGCCCCGGCGGCTGCCCGCGCCATGCCTCGGGCCTCCGGCGGCCGTTGGGGGGGGGCGATCTGGAGGCACACACACACACACACACACGCACGCACGCCCGCACGCACGCACGCGCGCACGCAGGCACGCACGCGCACGTACACACAGACACACGCACACACAGACACACAGACACACATACACACACACACACACGCACACGCACACGCACACAGACACACATACACACACACACACACACACGCACACGCACACATACACACAGACACACAGACACACACACACACACACACACACACACACGCACACACGCACACGCACACGCACACGCACACACACACACACACGCACACACACGAACACGCGCACGCACGCACACGCTCACGCACGCACGCACGCACGCACGCACGCACGCACGCACGCACGCACGCACGCACGCACGCACGCACGCACGCAGGCAGGCAGGCAGGCAGGCAGGCAGGCAGGCAGGCAGGCAGGCAGGCACGCACGCACGCACGCACGCACGCACGCACGCACGCACGCACGCACGCACGCACGCACGCACGCACACACACACACACACACACACACGCACACACACAGACACAC